GTTCCCCTGACGCGGCCTTCTCCAAACTCTTTCCACCCAACTCTACATTTTGTTTTTTGTTTTTAGTTTTGTTTTCCATAGCTGTTCCCACGAAATTGGTTGGTACTAAACGTCAGCTCGGGCAGAGCCCTCAATGCCCGAGTAAGGCTATATTAATTGGGAGGGCGCCAGGTATCCCAATTTCGGCCGCTAAGGACGAGTGAGCTCACCCGCCACGCCCGACGCATCCGTCAAGGCGTACCCCATCGCCGCGCACCATAACTTGAGGTTAAGGATTTTTTAGAGAGGTTATCATCCTCGCAGGCCGGCCGTCTAAGGCAAGCCCCCCGTTCCCTTGGCGCCACGTACCATTTCACTACAGTGGGTCGTTGCAACGCCAAGGGTTTACGGTATGGGGCCCCACAGCACCACGCTGCGGGGCGCTAAGGACTCGGGTACCTCGGGAGCGTCTATTCCCGTACCACAGCCAATGGAAAAAGTCGGCTGTGGCCCCTGAGGGGTGTATCAGTAATATCTGTTGACTCATCAAGAGCTAAGTTAAACCATTCGAAATCATTCCTTTTATTTATTAATTGGCTGTTTATATTGCTCCCAATATCTTCAATTCTTCAAGTAACTGTTCTCGTTGAAAGACTAATATTCTGGAATAAGTTTAACTTTTCTGGACATATGTATTTCCTCAGCTGCTGTTACCAAGCACGATTTAATTAAATCACCATCGGTAAATGGTTTTCATTTTTTAGCTAAAAAGTGAGCCATTCGGTAACTTGCTTTTGTTACAGCCTCATTTTCATTTGTTATGTTTTTGAACAAAATTTGCTGTGATGAAATATTACATTTTAATTTCTCTAGCTTTTTTAATCGTTCTTTTCCTATAAATTGGGAATATTTTGAAGAATATGTAGTTTTGTAATGGCGACGTATATTATATTCTTTTAACGCAGATGTTGTGTTATTGCATATTAAACACAAAGCATTATCATCTAATTTGGTGACAAAATAATCCACACTCCACTGTTCCTTAAAGGCACGATTTTCGGATTCTATTCTTCTTTTCTTTTTTTGTTTTGACATAGTGAGTACATACTAGCAAAGTTTTATTAAAAAAAAGCACCAGAAGATTTTACTACACAAAGCAGTGAAGGCTGATTAGCAAAATGATGCACTGAGAAAAAAGAGATGTTCTTGCCTGGCCGTCGAGTATACCATGCTATACATACATACATACATTGTATATGTATGTACATGTACAGGGTTATCCAAATTATGTGTCACATCTTCAAATTGAAATAAAACACCAAGTATTTGAGATTTGTATGGTTTCTTTATTTTAACACAAAGTTTACATTATGACACTAATTATGAAAGACTATATCATTTAAGTGTCCTCTGTTTCGTCTGCCACACATCAAAGGAAACAGTTGCTCTACTGAAGGAAATGTTTAATGGACGTGTAATTTCACGAGGAGGAGACATCAATTGGCTACCAAGATCGTGTGATTTAACACCATTAGACTTTTTTCTATGGGGATTCTTGAAAAGTAAAGTCTACGCTAATAATCCAAAGACTATTGACTAGCTGAAAAACAATATCACAGCCGCCATTAATGAAATTGAATTTCAGTTATGTGAGAATGTAATGGGAAATTGGGTCAAACATATCGGGCTCATGAAAAAAAGCCGACGAGGACACTTGAATGATATTGTCTTTCATGATTAATGTCGTAAAGTAGACTTTGTTTTGTTTCAATTTGAAGATGTGACACTCAATTTAGATAACCCTATAGAATTCTCATATTCTACTCTGCTCGTCGCTACTATATTACTTTGTTTTAGTTCGACTGCTCGATGAATCTAAATTCTTGGATCATAGACATAACTCACGGGCCATAAAAAAACTGATGGCGGGCCGCAGTTTGCCGACTCTTGGTCTAAGATATCAGATCGAACAGTCGCGAGGTGCGTGATCGAGTAGTCCGTGGTATTATAATTGATCTAGAGTCGTTACAGTTTTGTGAAAAGCATAAGTGACGAAAGACTATCAGTGCCACTAACAAAATTAGAAACCACATATTATTCAATCATAGTATTTTATTCATTTTTAATTCAATTAGTATATTGCGTTTTATATATATTTCTTTTATTATATGAATATTTTATATTCACTATCTTATTGAACAACAATTATACTTTGTTAATACATATTCTCTATTCTCCAGTAGAAAGGCAAGTGAAGAAAGAATCGTGCAACAATCAAAAGTTATAACAATATCCGAATTTAATATCGGTGAGTTGACTGCATTTAAAATATCATTTACGTTCATGCAATATTACTTGTGTTGTATCCGTAATTCTGAACATCATTGGTTATTAATTGTAAGTAAAGTATCCATCAATCAATTTCTTTCCGATTTCTTTTGTAACAGTCTTTTTGTTTTGCACAGTAATCATTTTATTGTAACAATATATCGCATTTGAGTTTAACGTAGTTTTAAACATTTATAATTATTTGCCTCCAATCTCTTTAATCTAACGACTACTAAACCAGGGGCCCGCATGGGACTAGATAATCACTTACCCACACAAAATAACTCTTACTCTTTAGACAAAGAACAACAATACATATTTTTCCCCTTTTCTCAAATACAAGTAAAGTAAACCCCGTCTGTTATTCGCTACCGAGACATCATCTATAACAGTAATTATCACATCACGTAACAGTATCTATAACAACGAGTTCTCCTAAGCCAGAAGAACTCATGCACCCCTATACCAACATACATCCACTCCCATGTTTGATCATTTTAACAATGTTCCTTGGATCTAATTCTGTATTATTATACATTGCCGCCATACTTTAACTTGCCCATTCGATTTGCAAATATTAAACTTATTTTTATTAAAAAATATAATTTTATCTCAAAAATTTAAATTTGTATTTATATACATTCTTGCAAATTCTAATCTTTTTATTCTGTTACTTTTACTAATGAACGGTTTTATTCTTGCTATTTTTGAATATACCCAGCATCTCTAAGGGTTCTACGAATGGTTATCACATTAACTTTTACACTATTTTCATTCACCAATTGCGCTGCTACTTCTGAAGAAGTACTAGCAGAATTCTTTTTTATTAAATTAACAATTTTCCTCCTCTCTCTGGCAGTAAACTTTTGTGGTCGATCACATCTGCGAGAATTTGTTAAATTTTCCATATTAGCAAACCGTTTAACTATAAATGGCTTCTATTTACTACTTTTGCAATAGCTGAATAAGATTTTCCTTCTTTTGACAAATTCAATATTATTTTCCTTTCGGAAATTGTTGCTTCTTTCGATTTATGACCCATTTTTGTGCCCTTTGTTTTTATTTTAATGAATAGTGAGAAATAATGGCGACAATTTGTGACAAGCGAACGTCAGATTGAATCGTCGGACATTCGCTGGTATGACAGTCATGCAAACATTCGAAATATTTATTTCAAAAATTCCTAGGAGTATTAAATTTCTAAGTGCGTCAAAACTGTTGTTCCGCTGAAAACAGGCCGTTATGTGTTCTTTATTATTTTTCTTTATTATAGGTCTACTTTTATAATTTGTGATATATTTGAACTTTAGACATCAAACTTATATTTCAAAAAAAAAAAAAATTAAACAAGAAATTGCATTTTTTTTTAGATTTATTTAATGTTCTATACGTAAATACCTCCTCTGTCAATACATATGTACTTATGTTCATCACTGTATGTGCGTTTTACGGGCGGTTTACACGTTGCGTGCACACTACATTCAAGAAGAATCAATTCAGTATAAAAATGGATCTTGTACAGCTTGGATGCCTTGCTGCTCTATGTGTGATATTAAAAATGAGAAAAAAAAGAAATCGTCGTTGGTTGATACACCCTCTTATTAGCTCAAAACTTCCAGCGGGACAGATTCATGTAAGGGGTCGTTCTACTTCGACAAATGAAAAATTATGCTATCTTAAACAATTTTTGTCTAAGTAAATACAACATATAATGAAATAAAGGTTGTTGGTATTTATTAAACTGCTCTTATACTATGCAAAAAAAATTTTAAATAATCTTTATAACAGCTTAAAATATTTTCTTCATGGTTTCAATATAGCGTCTCAAAAAATATGTAGGGGGAGTTCCCCTAGCACCGGACGCTTAAGGTTTTTCTTAAATAAATCTCTGTACCTGTGAGAAAACTTATTTTTATTCCTTTTGTCTCCTCTAGGAGATACGCAGAATAACGGCTCGGTAGGGTTTCAATTATAATGTCCAATATTAGGTGCCGTTCGGCGTTAAGGGAACTCCCCCTATACTCGTGGCGCAAGTGATTTCGCCACTTACAATAGACTTACACTACCGGCCTAAAGTTTGGTATCACTGAGCATTGCAATTTACACAAAAATTTCCAGAAAAAAGTCAGCGACTTTGAGAATTTTTTATCATTCGATTCAGTTGATATGAGATAAATTGATAAAATGAGAATTGAGATAAACTTCAAATCTATAAAAATATAGCAGCAGATTTAATATTGATGAAAAGTGGAAAGTGATTCCAAACTTTTGGCCGGTAGTGTATCTGAAATAGAAAATTTCAAAAGATTCTCAATCTGTAATAGTGCTGCTATCGTCCGTACCTCAGTTAATAATTTTAATTAGAAAATAACAAAATGGCGACGATTTTAAGAAAGAGTTTAATAAAACACCCTTTCTTCCGATAATTTTTTAAAGCAAAAAATATGATAAAATAAATATTTTCATCTGATATTTGTACGGACGATAGCCATACAGGTGTAGAATAAGTTTCTAAAATTTCAAGTTGATCGGTGTCTTACTTTTTGAGATTTTAACTGCGCCGCATAAAAAAATTTCGTTTTGAGAAATACGCGTTTAGAGTTTTAAGTACTGGAAGGTGGTTAAAAATGTACTTACAACTAATCTGCGATTCCTGCTCCATACATCAGTCCTTCAGCATCTTTAAACATGTCTTATGCAGCAGATCTAGCTTCCCTGCGTGCTATTCTTCCCTCCTTGGACGCTTCGGTGCTGCGGCGCGGCGTTTGGCTATGCGTATCCGTTCTTTGTTACGGGTTTCCACGAATCTTACGGCATCTGGTCCAATTGTGATTCCCATAAGCTCCATTATTTTTAAAATAGGATCGAATCCTTCATTAAAAATACATGCTGCGGTATGCGCGGCAATTTCTAATATTGTTTTTCCACAAAATATACGTTTTGGTGCAGTGTTCCATACAGATGAATTAAAACTTTCGTTATTATTCTGTGTATTGGAACCCAGACACCTTTCACTGTTTGCGCCATTCATACCAAGAATCTGTTCCTTCTGGGCAGTGTTCATGCTGAGGTTCTTCGTCAGTTGAAATTTTATGGTAGTAAGTGGCCCAGATTGCATTTCGCATATCTTCAATTGAATTAGGGTGCCGGAGGATTGCTAAACCATAATAAGACGATAAATTTTTCATTAATTTGTTAGTTAATGGTATACTTTTTGATGTAGCTTCTTTTGAATGCTTATTTTTACTTTTTGTATCTTGTCTTTCTACTTGGTTCTTTGCCTTCTTCAATTGTATCTATTACTTTTTGGCTTCCTTTATTTTTCTAAACATCCGTTTTTTAATGTGTAAAATTCATTCTTTTTTTTTTCACAATAAGATCATCGCTATAAGGTGAAGTATCTAGCAATGTTTTAAGTATTTTTGTGTCCCCGTCACCGATATAATAAGCGTATTTTACGTCGTGTTTTTCTTCGGATCGTTGAAACACCTCAACAACGCCGTCTACTTCCATTTTTTCAGCACTGCCCTCATGATTCGCATCACAATTTGCTTGTGACCATGCCTCGTATTCTACGGTATCTTTTTTGTCTTTCCAATATTTACACGACTTGCAAATACTCGATTGAATACTAATGTCCAAGATTTTATTGGAATATTTCCTTACAATTGATACAATCCCCAGTAGAGAAGGAAAACCTCTCTTTGACCATGAACCGTCGCCAGATACCGTAAGTTCGTTTTCTGGATGGTCTGTTTGCGAGATCAATGTTTTCTCTTCACTTACAGCTTTCTCGTCACTATTTCAAAAACGGTTTTAACCGCAGTGCTTATACTATCAATGATTCTGTAATATGTTGCAAAGTTTAAACCTTGTCCTAAATCCATTAATCTACGAAAGATTTTATTTCAGTGTATTCTAATTCCAATTAACCGCACAGCAAATACAAAACGTTGGTTTATTGTTAGCGAGAGCGCAGTGATAGAAAAAGAAAATAGAGGTCTTTATATACGTAATGTTAGGAGTTTTATTCTGGTCATTGGTAAAACAGTCGATTGATCTACTCCTAGAAAGAACAAACGCTAATCGATAGAGCAGAGTGGGGGCATGCATTGCCAACCTCGTGATGACCAAATCTTTAACAATTTCGTATCCAGTTCCAATCATAGGATAAGAGTTTACATATCTTTCTTCACACAAACACTTAACACCTAATTTAAATTGAAGACCTCGTTGCCCGTATTTTGTAAATACCACATCATTATTGCACTGTTTGCAGTTTAGCATTATTTGTAAACTACAAAAAAAAACCAAGGCAAATTGTACAATGCAGTAATTCATAGTTGGATCACTGTGTACGTCAAATCCTCTGTCACCGCTTTTTTGCAATTTTGCTGCAGAAGTACTCGCGAAAATTGAACACTGTTCATCAGAATACTGATTTCCACGAAACTTTTGTTTTTTTTTTTGCGGAATAACTCGGATGTTTAGAAGATTCTTTTTTTGAATATTTTCTATCGATGTTTAAATTTATAAACTCCGAAATTAGAAAACCGATATTAGTTCTTGCAACTCTGAAATCCAGAACATTATTGACTCTTGCGTCTCAACTGACAGGTACTGCTTACCCAACCTGGTATAACTAAGCCATATAATCAGGTACAGATGTGACTCCCCTCAGGGGCCACAGCCGACTTTATCCATTGGCGGTGGTACGGGAGTTGACGTTCCCGAGGTACCCGAGTCCCAAGCGCCCCGCAGCGTAAAATACGCTGTGGGGTCCGATACCGTAAACCCTTGGCGCCGCAACGACCCACTGTAGGGAAGTGGTACCTGGCGCCAAGGGAACGGGGGATTTGCCTTAATCGGTCGGTCTGCGAGGATGTCCGCCTCTATAAAAAAGGACCCGCGCCCCCCGGGTGTAATCAGCCTTACCCGGGTAAGGCGGCTCTGCCCGGGTGGACCTTTTTTTCCGACCCACTCGTGGGACCAAATATGGATTCTTTCAAAAATATACCGGGGTTGGGGGGTAAAGACGACGAGGAGGGAGAGGTCGCTAGGGACTTAGAAGAGGCTAGAGCCTATATTAGACAAAAGAAAATGCTGGAGACTGCGGCGGCCGTTTCCGCGAGGCTGGAGCGCGCCTCGACCAGCGGCACGCCGATGACACGTTGGTGCTGGCCACCGGGGTGGTCGCGGGATGGACCGTCCGCTCCGCCGAGATCGGAGTGGCCTCTGTGGCATCCCGGATCCGGGAAATGGGGTTGAGGCTGGCGCCAGAGAAAACGGAGGCGGTGTGGTTTACCACCCACACCCCCCGTTGGCGCCGCCTCGTTCCGCCCCTTTCTCGGGTCCGGGTATGTGGTTTTGCCGTCC